ATCAAATTATACTCAATAGTCCACGAGGTCTCCCCCAGACTCCACACCCCCAATCCTGGTCAATCTTAGTATTTAATATTTAAAACCTTATCAACTGAATAGGTAAAACTTATATTTTTGTTCTTTTGATTTGGCCATCTTTGATTATTTATAATGCTAAATATTTTCTTGTTTATTGGCAGTATTTTTAAAAATATATTTTTATTGCTTTCAGAGAGGAAGGGGGAGAGAGAGATAGATAGAAATGTCAATGATGAGAGAGAAACACTGATCTGCTGCCTCCCGCACACCCCGCGACTGGGGATCCAGCCTGCAACCTGGGAATGTGCCCCTGACCGGAATTAAACCTGGGACCTCTCAGTTCACAGGCCAACGCTCTATCCACTGAGCCAAACTGGCCAGGGAGGCAGTATTTTTTATGTTCGAGTTATAGATGTAAAATTATTGTTATTCAAAATGGTAAAGACTATCTGTTATGCAGTGTTGCATTGACTTGTTTCCAATTCTTTACTGATTTTCTAATTTTAAACTATATTTATTAATGCACACCGAGTTAGTAAATAAGCATCCTTTTTATTAAAAATAGAGTAGCCATTTCCACCTACCCTCCATTCTTTTGAATCTTCTATTTTTTGCTTTAACATAACACCACAGGCCAAGTTTCATTTCTCATTTACCACTTTCCACCTGAGTTGTCAGTTTTGTTTTTGGTCTAAACTCAGGGTAAGTGAGAGGGCATCTCATTAAATCACTGTCTCTGGACCAGGTTCCAGCAGGGCTATCTACTTTACATATCTTCTTTAGTTTGTTGTTTGAAAATAAATTCAAACATAACACTATTCAAGAAGTGTTCTTATATTAAAAAATAATCTTTTACACTTAACAATCTTTAAGAACAACAAAAATATTTTCATTTGGAGATACCAATATGAACATTTCTTTAGGGAAATGTGTAATATTTAGGAAATAACCATGTCAAAATGGCAGTTATATGAAGTGACTTGAATATGGACTAAGCATGGGCTTTTCCCTTAACATTGGAAGAGATCAAAGAAAGTGATTTGACTTGTAATTTTCTTTTTATCTGTCAAGCTCTTCTTGCGTGCCAGTACTTCATTGTTTGAGTCAAACAGTAAGTAACTATGGAGACTGTAAACTGGATGAAGAAACAAATGCCACATCTATCTTTTAAAATCCTGCAGAGTCTAATAGTACCATATATACATATATATATATATATATATATATATATATATATATATATATATATATATAGGGTGAGGTTAAAGTAGGTTTACAGTTGTGAGTCTAGGGAACATAGTTAACTTTTGTGTTATTATTCATTAATTATTGTACTATTTTTCATACAAATGACTGTAAATCTACTTTTGCCCGACCTTGTACAGTAGATGATTATGCAGCAGACATCTTGTTCAACCTTTTAATAGGGAATTTTAATCCATTTGTGTTTTTATTGTAATTGCTGATAGATATGTTTATACTTTTCCTTGCTTTATTTTCTCCATTCTTGTATTCTGTCAAGTACAATACTTTAGTCTGAATATTAGCAACAAGATTCATTAGGTGCTTATCAGCTTTATTTGTACACTGTGTTTTTGTATTTCATAAGTATTTCAAAAATTTGGTGTCTGTATTATGCGAAGTGTCCCCTCAGAAGTTCGACCAGGAGACAGGGAGTTCGATCACTCACTATGACTTGCGTTGACCACCAGGAGGCAGCATGGAAGGAAGGAAGGCCCCAGCTGGCAGCCAGCAGCCAATCAGCAAATCACAGGCCTAGGGACCCTGCCTCTAGTTTACTTATATATTTAAATGAAGAATTTTTAGTTTAGTAATGTCCAACTGAAGAATACTTCCCACCACTTTTATTTATTTAGTTCTCCCCGAAAACACTTTTAGGTAAATAAATGGAAGTTTCATGTGAGTTTATATTTCACTATGATTGTCCTTGTCAAAAGAATTCACCTTGCCCTAGCCAGTTGCTCAGTGGTTAAAGCATTAGCCAGTGACTGAAGGTTCATGAGTTCAATTCTAGTTGCAGGCTCATCCCCAGCCAATACAGTCAATTGATGTGTCTCTCTCACATAGATGTTTCTCTCTCCTGTCTCTCCCCATCCTGTCCACTCTCTGGAAATCAATGGAGGAAAATATCCTCAGGTGAAGATTTTTAAAAAACCTTCACTTTTTAAAAAATATTTTTTAATTGATTTTAGAGAGGAAGGGAGAGGGAGAGAGAGAGAGATAGAAACATCAATGATGAGAGAGAATCATCGATTGGCTACTTTGTGCATGCTCCCCATTGGGGATTGAGTCTGTGCCCTGATCAAGAATCAAACCCTGACCTCCTGGTTCATGGGTTGATGCTTAACCACTGAACCACACTGGCTGGCAAACCTTTATTAACAGTTTGGCACACTGGATATTTTAAATAAGTTTTTTGTTGTTGTTGTTGCGTATCTGTAGGTTGATCTTAGGATACAATCCATTTACTGAATACATTTAGGAAATACAGCTCTATTAAAGAATTGGCAAAGAAAGCAAGAGACAGAGTAATTCATTCAAAGGTGGATTTTTACATCTACAGTATGAAATCAAGTCACTAGTACAATTTTTTCCCTGTACACATATATGTAACATCTAGTCATAATTGTTTATTCATAGAATTGACAAAAATAAAAAACGTAGATGTTAAGAAAAGAACTTAAAATAAGAACAGACATTTGCAAGGGACAATCCAATCCTTACCAATCTCTGTGGAAAGCAAAATCAAGTAAGCATTTACAAAATATTCTGGTAGAATTATCCTTAGGCTTTTTTTCCCTGGTGGTGCTTCTCTCTCTCAAGGCACTGGAAGCATCATCTTGCTAACAGGCTATACCAGTGGCATGTTTAAAATAAGTTTGTAATTCTTTTAATATTGCTTGACTTTTGTGAATGAGTTCTGCAAGTAGTAAAATGATACACATTCTCTGGGACACACATTTGACGAGTCATTTCTCACCTCTGAGATTGCTGAGGGGAAAGAATAGAGAATGATTTGAGGAGTCAAAATGAATCATAAAGGAAGATTTCTTTCACTCAGCTTACCATCACACTGTGCATTTCTTCATCTATCTAAAAATTTTCTTGTGACCTCTGAGTAGTAGTCACGCACATAGCTTCCCTTTTAAACTGTATTCTCACTCAGAAGTGATTTTGACTCGTTAAAGGGGACAAAGGAAGGTACTCCCAGGCATATCAGGTAGGTTTTAGTGTTTAAATATGACCGAAATGGAGTAAATATGTATTTGTGACTATGTGCGCCATGAGTATATCTATTTTTAAATTAATTCTAAGTTATAGATGACATTTTACTCAGGCTTTATAATGGAGAGCTTTTCTGTGTTAAGTTCAAGAAAAATTTCTTGAGAAATGGTTGGAGATTTCTGTCATATATTTGCCAGTGACATTTGCCAATAGCTTTGGACTGCTTAAGTAAACAATAGGTAATGTTAATCTGCAAAGATTTCCTTATAGATTTACTCTTACTAAATTGTCTGTTTTTCTAACTTTGGCTATAAAAATCAAGACATGATTCTGTTAAGGATTAATTTTCCAGAACTTATGGCAATGTGTGTTGATTTGTTGTATAATAACTTTAAATTACCACAAAGTATCCCTCAGATAACAAAAATCTTGAAAAGTAATTAATATATGTCTGATTTCTGAGTATATTTTTATCTACATATATACATAGAATTTGTTCATATTAAAAATGTGGAAATATTATAGTTTAAAACTATGCAAAATGAGATCTAACCAAATAATTTATAATAAAACCTTTACTGCTATTATAATATAAATTATATTTTATACCAGAGGAATCCACATATGATGTAGTAACTTACCAATTTAAACAAGTTTTAAACTTCTTTAGATGACAGTTATGCCATCTATAAAATTATGTATTTTTCCATACATTTTATATTATGAATATAAAATACACTAAGATTTTTTAAAGGCATAAAATTAGCGTGTCTATTTAAAGTATTAGAAAGTACAAAAATATGTCTTCTTTTATGTTATTTTAAACATTCCCATCAAAACTAAAAGGATAAAACAGAAGTTAGATTCTTAATATTTGTTAAATAAGAGTGATTGTCATATGATATTTTAGTTTGGAAATTTCTAAGCAACATTCAATAATTAATAATAGAAACCCAAAGCTTTATACAATAATTTGTTACTCAGTATTTTTAAAAACCATTATATTAGTCTTATAATATTCTTGAGAATTCTATACATATATAGTACCAACTAAATTTAAGTATGAAAGATGAAAATTATTTGCTCAATGTTCCAATATTAAAGATGAAGTTAAACCTAATAATCTGTTTTCTCATTTCCTAACAAATACCTTAGCTAAGTAATTGGGCTATGTTTTATAGGTAGCATTTCTTAAATAGAATGATTTTCATGATTAGTAATAGTGTTTTTATTGGTATGTTCTAAAAATGTGAATGTCTCTACCTTCCATATTTTGTTTTCATCTAACCTTTGGAGAGCTATTTAATTGTTTTGAATTAAGTTTTGAAGTATTCCAAGAATCTTTATTTTTTATTATTTACATTGTCATTTTTTTCTGTATCTATGATTAATTACAAAAATACTAAGAATATTAATATTAATGTGTTGATAAAAATTAATATAAGAGAATACTTATATAAGGGCATTATATTTTTATTTAATAAAAGCTTAAGAGAAATTAACCAATTTATAAAATAAAAAACTATATTTTCAACTTTTAAATGGATTATAAGATGACCAATATTTGATATTTTTTAATGTGAAAGATACAGACATACAATGAACTTGAGTTACTTCATCTCTGAAAAAATTATAAGCTTTCTCTGATTTTCAAACTTAACACTTACAAGTAAAACAATAATTCGAGTAAACAGTGAGTGAAAAATATAACACTTCTTAAATTAAAAGTTTGTTTGCTAACTACATTGCTAGTTTTTTACTCCAAAGTCTTTAAAAAGGATATTAGGTACAAATCATCTAAATAAATATATATTTGGGTGAAGAAATTCAGGATAGTCTCTGGGTTTGAAAAAAATCTATATAAAACACCAACATCAACATTGTTATGATTTTTTTTATTTCAAAGTATTCTGCCTTTCTATATTATTGGATCAAATCTTGAAATTATATACTCCAGCAAATGATACTATGAAGAATGTATAGCACTAACATTTTAATTAAATTATAAAAGCATAATCTGCACAATTATAGCTTAGCATTTGTAGCTAAGCATTTGATGACCCCCTAATTATGTTATTAGTAACATTTTATTTGATAGCTAGATAACTAGATAAATTAGAAACATATAATTAAAGCAAAGTCATGTCCTAATTTATAAAGACAATAAAAACAAAAAAGCATAGCAAAACCCCATTGAAAAATAGTTACTGCACCATTATAATGAGATACAATTTTACTGATATATCGTACAAAGGAAATAAAGGTCAAACTTTGCCTTATGCTTTCTTGTTAAAATACTCTAGAAGATGAGATAATTATGTAAGTCTCAAGTCATAAACATAATACAAAATGATTCACCCCCATGAGCTTTTGCCACAAGTCTAAAGTTATTTTGAATGGCACAGGATGAAAGCCAATATTGGGAGATGGTAAAGAATCACCATACAAGGTTTTAAATAACAAGACCAGAATCTTACTTCATTACTCAGGAACAATTAATTTCAGAGCACAGATTTATTATATCTTCTGCTACCTACGTTGACACCACATGTCTCACCAGATGAAAGTGGGCAGAATCCTTTAATCGTAGTCCACTGTGAAGCCCAGTATGAAGGGTGATGTGGGGCAAGATACCATGGTTCTTGAGAGGAAAAAGCCTGAATGTGCATTAAGAATCATGAAGAAAGAAACTAGTCCAAGCAGGAGCCTTTATCTCAGAGTTCAAGGTTGTAAAGGAGTTGTATTTTGCCCAGTGAACTGGATTGGCAAGGGTCAAATAAAGCCAATCTGCTGGAAGAAAAAAAAAAAAAAAGAAGAAGAAAAAAGCACCAGCAGATAGCCTAATTATATCCACAAACACAAAGACTTTTCAATTGTCTTTTTCATAAAAATTATCTTTCTTGCATTTATGAAGCAATATGCATACGTTTAGCAATACTCTTCTTTCTTTGTCAATGACCCAAGTGAACTGTCCAATCCACCAACAGAGCTTGAAAAGTCACCGTTCCTTTTAGAGGGACACAGACCTCTTTCTCCTCCTGGCAAAATCCCCGGCTTGAATGAAGTTGGAGAGAGCCTTCGTGAGGTGACTATCGGATGTCTCCGTGCTGCTCCCAAAGTCAGCAGCACTCTTGAGGCCAGGGCACAAGCACTGCACCGTGGCCCTGCGGATGTAGCTGTCAAAGATGTAGTAAATGAAAGGGTTGACACAGCTGTTGGCAAAGGCTAAGGGCCCGCTCACTTCCATGCCCCGCTGGAGGACAGACACGGAGACGTAGTGCTCTTGCTGCAGCCCAGACACAATGGCCAGGAGCTTGAACGTGTTGAAGGGCAGCCAGGAGATCACAAAGGCGGACACGACAATAAATATGATCTTGATGGATTTCCTCAGCTTCTTGTTGTGCTTTCCCGTCCGCTGGTACTGGGCGCACAGCTTCCTGATGATACAGCAGTAGCAGGTCACGATGCTCACCAAAGGCGCGAAGAAGGTAAAAAGTAAGGACACCAGGGCCCAGGTCAGTTTAACCGAAGTGGCCCTCTTCTCTGCACAGTATGGCTTATCTTGGATCAGGGTGAGCTCCCTGGACAGAAGAGTAGGCAGCCCCAGGAGGCAAGAGACACACCAGACGCTGGCACAGACCCCGTAGGCACAGTCCCTCCTTCTGAGTTTCCTGGACGCGGCCGGCCACACGATGGCCAGGTAGCGGTCCGCGCTCATGCAGGTGAGCAGGAAGACGCTGCAGTGCATGTTGACCGAGATCATGTAGGAGCTGCCTTTGCACAGGAAGGAGCCTGTCCTCCACAGCCCTGAGGAGGCTTCCTTGTCCACCCAGAGAGGCAGCGTGATGAGGAAGATGAAGTCGGAGGCGGCCAGGTTCACGATGAAGATGTCGATCAGCCTCCGGCTGCCCGGTTTGAAGTGCAGCACGCCCATGAGGAGGAGGTTCCCCAGCACCCCGATCAGGAACACGGCTGTGTAAAAGGCGGGCAGGAAAAGGGATGTGTAAGGAGCCTGGAAGCGGGTCTCCTCCACGTCATCAGGGTTTGGGCTTGTCCCGGAGGAATAATCCCAATAATCAGAGGTTGCTTCTGGGTCCATCGCCAAAGATCAGGTGGCAACACCTGGGGAAGTTTCCTTACCTAGGAAGTGCCTGTGTGAATGTTAGAAATCTCAAGGCAGCTTCTTTTATGCAGTGCCACCTCTTCCCCCACCTCACCCCTCCCTTAAAAGATGGTGCGGCAAGCATAAAAACAGAGATTTTAAAAAGCAGTTTCTACCACTCTTCAGAAAGGGCCCTCCAGGAACATCACCCTGATTGGTGCTGGGTGGTTGTGGTTTTTTAAATTTACATTTGCCCAGGAAACTAAGCTGCTTTTTAGCTTCTTTCTTCAAGGTTTTGAACTTGTTTCTTTAAACCCAGAAATTAGAAAATAAACATTTTTTTTTCCTTACCTATGTGAAAGACATATTTTGCTTTTCTAACACCGAGAATCCTTTTGATCTAGCCTTCTGTTTCACATATAGGATACTGTTTTACTATTAGAATTTTAAGGTGATGATGGTGAAGATACTGTTTTTATTTACATCATTGGTGAAATGTGAAGAAAATAGTCTTCTGTTGCAGGAAGAGTGAACTGAAAATCTAAACCATGCCAGTCTGCATCTTTGGCAAATATGATGGTTCCAATTATTTGACTCTTTTAGTTCATATATAATCAATCCTGTCTCACTCAATAAGTTGTGTGTTTGCTTTTTTTTTTTTAATCTTCAAAAAGCTGAGGCCATATCTTGTGTTTTTATTATTTGGAAAACAATATTCCACTATGATTAGCACAACACCTTGCACATAGCGGGTGCTTTGGGGATGTTAGTTTATTTGAGTTGATTAGAAAAGCTCTTATTTTTGTGATTCAGTGTTAGTAGCAATAGTGAATTCATTGGGTTTAACTGCAGGCATTCTTATTCCAAATTGATATTTTCAACTTCTCTGCCATTATAATTCAACCAATAACATTCCCTTTGTTAAGATTAACATTCTTGTTTGAAAGATTTTCTCCTACTAACCCTTAAATACCTATGTTCCATCAGACTTTAGATCCCCTCACCTTTATAGCAGTGATTGTTTAGCTTTTGAGCTGTGACTTTTCCTTGAGTACCTCCACACATCAGTGAGCTACACTTTGGAAATTATTGGCCTGGCAACAGAGAGACCTATATTAAGTGACATTATAATGAAATTGCCAGCATAGGCACTATAAAAGGAAGATTTTTGGTTCATTCAAAACTCTTGAGAAATAGGCTGACATAGGAAAGATCCTATCCTATTTTCTTATCTAGTCTCTTTTATATTAGAAAGACCATAGCAAAATATAACAAATTCTGAAACTGACTTCATTTATTTCAACTTTTTACTGGCTGAAGTGGCTCAAGCTTCTCTCACACTCTTCTCTCCTTCCCTCTTTCCCTCTATCTCATTTCATCGCCAAAATTAGTTTCAGATTGATATTACAAATACATGGAAGAACGTATGCCTGCGGATGAAAATACAGTTGTTAAACATTTGAAGTTCTTTCTACTGAATTTTTATTCCTTTCAGACTTAATGTGTTGAAAAGAATGATCCTGCCTGCTGTATTCCCTCCTTCATTCCTTGAGTGTCACCTCAGCCTTAGGCGTCAGTCTAAGGCAGGGGAAGATGAGGCTCCCCTGATCTGGGGCAGCCCCGGGAAGTCACCTACAAGTTGTGTTTTGCTCTGGGCCTGCCTTCATCTGTGTCCCTGGCTGTCCCGTGTTATTCATGGAAGGTGGGCAGGGGGCGGGGGACACATCCTTTACTAAGGACAGGCTGCAAATGAGAAGAACTAATGTTTTGACATTTCTGGGATGAAAGTCTTTGCCATGGGTAAGCCTTAAATATTCAACAGAATGATTTATGATATTTTTGTCAAATAGTTGGAAGCAGAATAGTATTAACTTGAAAATGATTGATGGGGTAAACACAGACTATTCAACCACTATATCTATGCGTATGTGTCTTAAATTAATATGTATATTTGTACTTTAATTGTACTGTTAGAATTTTAAATTATGCAAACAGAAGTTCTTTTAGCATGTGAGAAGATAAGATTGATTTGGGTCCTAAAATATTTTTAAAAATATTTTTAGATATGTCTCAGAAATTCCATATAAAAGTTATAAAATGGAAAAGAGTTGATGCTCGTACTCTAGAGAAAAATATCTGGCTGTAAAATTATTCTGTAGGTCTTAAATTTTCTTCCAGCACTCAAAATTGTTGGCCTGCTGATGTAAACTATGTCAAACAAATCTGAATTTCTCAGTAAATTTTAAGACAAAATGATTTTTTTTTAACAATACATGGTCACTTGAAATATAATATTAGTAGTTGAATGCTGTGATGTGAGAATATCCAACATGGATCAACAGTATCTTGGGACCCAAGTTAGAAGACAAATTAAGTGTTTTGAGCCACAAAAGGAAACAAATAGAATTGTTCTGAGCTTTTAATAACTCAACGAATACAAAGCTATTATAAGACAGAACCCATGATAGAAGCTGAGTAGACAAAGTAGGGAAGGACATTGCTTTAAATAAGCTTGGGTGCAATGGTCATTTTCAGGCTTCAAATGATCTTTGACATAAACATGAGTTAATTAACAATAAAATAACCAGTGTACACAGACCAAAAACTCAAAACAACACCGTATATACAGCCTATAAAAAAAGGCAGTCTGAACAAGATGATTAAAAAAAAAAGAGTAAGATGTGAATATTAGTAACTGAATTATAGTGTGTATGCCATCTCAAGAATGGTTATCCCTCAAGCGGCTCAACTTTTCTCCCCCATCCCTGGCAGATAATCGCTTCCAGCTTAATGTTCTCTGAGACCTTTTACAACACTGCTTATTACCTCGTTCCACACGATTTGTTCTTTTGGTGTCTGACCTCCTGAGCTGATCATGAGCAAATTGAAGGGAGAGACCATCCCTTCTCTCCCCACTGGCCTCAAGTAGCTCTCCAATTAAAGACTTTTATAGACTCTCAAAGCCATTGTTTTGAACCTATGGGTGTCAAACCACATTACCCACATGTGGGTGCCTACTAAACTGTAGCTTTCTGAACCCATTCCAGATCTATTGAACCAACATCATTAGGAGTGGAGTCTAGGACTTTATATTTAACAAACATCCAAGGTGATTTTTATACACACTAAATTTTAGAATCACTATTCTCATTCATTCATCTTAACCAACTTCATATGTTATGCTTTGTTATTACTTTGGCTAACTTAAAAAAAAAAGTTTAAAAATTACCTATAAATTTGAATTTATTAGAAGTCTTCTACTTTGGACATCACAAAATTTTAGAAATTTAGACTTTGGAGCTCTTTCTATTCTGTGTCCCACTTCCTGAGATATGTTCAGAATTGGGTCAGATATTGAAGATGAGGAGAGAGTAAGGTTTTCTCCACAGAAAATCTATTATCACGTATCATGTGGCCATAGCTTCATCCTCTGCTTCACAGGTGGGCCGAGGTTTTCTGTGAATACAGCCACCCCAACTGGCATTCTGATATATTTCTTCTCTGTCAACCACTCTGGTCCCATATTAAATAGGGACTCGTCAGATTATGTAGCATATAGCACAGCAGAAAGAAGTCTCTGCTCATATATGCTCTCCTGATGAGCCCTGTAATAATGGAAAATATCATTAAGCAAATTGCTTTTTATTAATATTATCAGATGATGATATGTTTTATTAGGAAAAAACCCACTCTTGTCCATTTCTTACTTGAGTATTATAAAGTGTATAACAATTTAAGTAGTCCAGTTTAAGAGATCTGTTTGTACACTGATTTATTTTTACTTTGACAGTTTCTTGGAGAGTTTTCTGTAATATAATGTAATATATCCTACCAAATTAAGTGTTATCAGGGTCCATCACAGGGAATATAGAGCATTGTATTTATTTAATTTTTATTTTTAGATTACAGTTGACATACAATATTATATTAGCATCAGGTGTACAACATAGTGATTAGATATTTATATACATTACCAAGTGATCGCCCATATAAATCTAGTACACATCTGATACCCTATATTATGGTTATTACAATATTACATACTAAACTAGAGGCCCAGTGCACAAAAGTCATGCACTGGTAGGGTCCCTAGCAGCTGCCATCTGCCAGCGGGCCTCCCTCTTCCCCCAGCAGGCCCCATCCCCCGGTCGAACTCACAGCTGAGAGGACAATTTTCATACTACATTTTTATTATCTAGAACACGTGTCAAACACAAGGCCCGAGGGCCAAATCCGTCCCGCCAGGCCTTGCAATGTGGCCCGCACCTCGCTGTCATCACTGCACTCTGCTGCGTTTCCATCACAATGACAGTTTATGACTGTTCAGTAAACCATTCGGCCCGCGATTTAGGCTGGATTTTAGATTTTGGCCCCTTCTCTGATTGAGTTCGACACCCCTAATCTAGAATTTCCTGTGATGTACTTTATATCCCCATGATTAATTTTATAACTGTCAATTAGTACTTGTTTTTAAAATTTTCATGAGTTATTTGATGACATGTTTATTGATTTATTCCAATTATTTATTCATTCATTGGTTGATTCTTATATGTGCCCTGACTGGGGATTGAACCCACAACCTTGTTATTTCAGGATGATGTTCTAATCAACTGAGCAACCTGGCTAGGGCATTTAGTTGTAATTTTTTTTTTTTTAAATACTCACCTGAGAATATTTTTCCATTGAATTTTGGAGAGAGTGGAGGAGAGAGGAAAGACAGAAACATCGATATGAGAGTAACAAATTGATCGGTTGCCTCCGACCAGAGCCCAGGTCAGGGAGGAGCCTGCAACCAAGATAGGTGCTCTAGATCAGAATCGAACCCAGGACCCTTTAGTTCACTGCTCTATCCACTGAGCCAAACTGACTAGGGCAGTTGTAATTTTGATGTGGTTGTGAGAGGAGGTGAGCACAGCATTTTCCTACTCTACTACCTTTTAATTTATTGGGGTGACACTGTTTAACAAAATTACATAGGTTTCAAGTGCACAATTCCACAACACATTGTACACTGTATTGTGTATTCACCACCCCAAGTCAAGTCTACCCTCCATTCTACTCTGCCATCTTGAGGAAAGATCCATTTTAGATGCACTTTTCTATTTACCTTGTTCTTGGTTAATATAACTATTTTTCTATAGTGAATTGATACAAGAAAAATTTTTAAATGATTTTTTTTTAGGGTGGTTGTTTATTGAAACTGAGAGTTTGCACATTTTCCTATTTTTCTCTTTTCAGTACTACTAGGTTCACAAGAAAACAACAAAATTTTTTGAGAACAATATAATGTAGATATATTTTACTCAACATAATTTTCTAGTTCCTAAAATATGTGCAATTAAAAATTAATATTTAAGCAGATTAGGGAATTTGGTATGAAAGAAATTCTCATATTAAGAATTGTTTTATAAATAGATAATATAAGCAAATACTATCTGCATAGCTATATTTTCAGTTGTTGGCTTATTTAAACTGTAATGTAACTGCAAAACCTTCCTGCTGAAACTGGAACCACCCTTAACAAATTAAGGCAGAGGCCTAGTTCAACTTTGGTTTTAAATGTAAATTGCATAATCTTAAATTATCTTTAATATTTTATAAAAACATTTCAGACCAGCTACTGTTTTCCAAAACAACAGAGTAAGAAATGGAAGCAGACATTTAACTCCATCATATTAAGGATTTATATTGCCTACCCACACAAATAAGAATAAACAGAAAACGCCCACGATGCAGATAAATCAGAAATATGGCTGTGTGCTTGGAGTTGCTGCATATGATGGGACAGTGCAAGTCCTCTGTGCTGACTGGGCAGGATGGTCACAGCCTCTACGCTTCTAGGTCCACTCCAAATGTCTGAGTGGCATGCGTTTTGTGTGTTTTCTAAGCATTCTGCAGACTTGATGGATGAAAGCGACATCCTCCCTGGCACGTCTCCCCCAAAACAACCACCCTGAATCATGAACACTGTGTCTGCTTGAACAGAGCTCAATAAGGATGCCTGAAATCCGGTCCTGGTAAGTCTTCCCTAGTCATCTGACAGTCCAGAGGTTCATAAAACCTATGGAAATGAACAGACTCCTACCTCTATAAATGGCTTATTTCCCCCAGAGGAATCAGGAGCTTTTAGAGGCTGTATTTAATGACCCTACTTAAACATTTTAGATGTTCAACATATATTTTCCAATACTAATAAGTTAATAATTGTTTACTATGCCTCAGACCCTGTGCCGGGCGTTTTATTTTTTTTTCTCATTCAGTCCTCACAATGATTGCTTTGGATAGGGGCTATGGGCAACATCCATATTTTGGGGAACATCCATATTTTGGAGAAAATAAACCTGAAACTTAAAGAAGTAAATTGTCTAATGTCACAAAACGAGTCGTCTCACTCCAACATTCAAGTTTGATAAGTCAGTTATTCACCCGGGGCTCAGGTCCCTTGCCTTTGAATTTGAGGTGGTATCTTCCTCTTTAAATTGTAAAAACCTCAGTTCTACAGGTCACAATCGATGACTAGCCGTGACCGGAGACAGTCCGCCTCAACCCGCCTAGACCTTCCCTTGTAAAACAGAAGAATCCATCAGTCAGTCCAGACCTTCCGTTTGCGCGCTGCGGTCCCTCGGGAGCCGAACTACATCCCCCACAAGGCGCCGCGCGCGCTGCGCCGCGGATGCCGTCCTCCTCCTCCTCTCTCAGCTGTCCCTCCGTCCCTCCTACAACTCCCACAAGCCCCCTCGGCTCCGGGCCCGGGCCGGACCCGGGCTGGGGGCGGAGGCGGAGGCGCGGGAGTTGTGGCGGGGGCGGGCTCTGCAGGGAAGTGCGTCAGAGGAGGCGCGGGGGGAGCGGGGTGCTGTGGTCAGAGCTTAAGGGTGAAGCTGGCGGAGCAGGAGGATGGGCGGTGAGTGAGCCGGGCCGGCGTCGCCGGGCGGGGGTCGCGTAGCCGTGCGACGTTGCCAGCGGTTTAGGGAGGGTCCCCTCCCCTCCCCTCCCTCTGCGCCGCTGGGGTGGGCGGGTTCTGAGCGGCGCAGCTGGGCCGGGGATGGGGCGGGGGGGGGGGGGTTTGTCCCTCGGCCAAGGGGTCTGGGGCGGGGCCTGGTGGGGTACCCGGGGCCCCTGGCCGGGTCCGCGCTGGGATCCCCCATCCCGACCCGACCCTTCCCGCGTCGGCCTCCCCCGGCCCCTGAGTGCTCCCTGCGAGGTGCCCGCGCCCGGCGCCCGGCGCCCGGCCTGGGGGGAGCGCCCTCCGGGGCCGGGACTCCTAAGGTCATCCGGGATGAAAGAAGGCTGCGAGGAATACAGACACAAACCCGACTCTCAGAGTTACCATGCATTCCTGTAATTGCCCTGATCTCTCTCTCTCCTGAGTCACCCCCAGCCTCCAGACTCAGCCACCGCCGCGGCTGGCGAGCCTGTGCCTGAACCCCTTTGTAGGGCGAGTGCCGGGGTCACGGTGTGCGCGGGCTGGGTTTGCCTCCGCTGGGTGCGCCCTGAGTCATTTTACTGCGGCCTTTTACTACCGCCGGGGAGCCCGGTGCACGCCTTCCCAGTGTGCACGTTTTGCATAATGCATACTTTTCTTTATGGCTCAGGAGAGTTCACTTAGTTTGCAGAGGAGGAGGTTCCAAAGTACCGGGAATGGGGAGAGTACCTAGGAACGAAGAAATGTGTCAGGGTGAGGGAGCATGGCTCGGCGTGAATGGGTTAGGGCAGCTTGACACCTGGCATTGTGTGTAATTGCGTTCTCCTTGCTGTTCTCTGCGCGCCTAAACCACCCTTCTCTGCGGGTTCACAAATATCTCCCACTCCGTGTTTCTGATTCTAAATGCTGTTTTCAGGTTTCCCTCTTCAGAGGAAACCGGGAGGAGCGGATTTCTTCTGCTTCCCTTTCCTGTGCCCTTTTCACACTCAGACCGGGGGACACTTAATGCCCTGCAGCTCGTATAAAAACTCAGTCTGAAATTAAACATTGACCCCTATGGTGGTGCATTGCTGACTCTGGGTATGTCTATGGTCTCTATCTGTAATGTGTATGTCCTTTTCAGTGTTGTCTGTTTTAGTGTGCAGGTGATAGACTAGAGAACAAGACCTCTGTCTCCATAGCGTCCTGGGTAGGTGAACTTTCAATAAGTACTTTCATGATGACTTTTGTTTTGAACTTAATTTAAAACATGGTTTAAAAAAAACAAAAAACTTCTTCATGATTACACATTACTTTCAATAGCCAACGGTTGGGAAATAGAGTAAAGGGCGATTTTGAGATAATTTCTTTCAAAGTGATCTTTATTTGAGAGAATTTCTTTCAAAGTGATCTTTATTTGTCCTCTAACTTTTCTTCAATTTTCATACAGAGCAGTGTGAATGCCAGGATGGATAACCGTTTTGCTACAGCATTTGTAATTGCCTGTGTGCTTAGCCTCATTTCCACCATCTACATGGCAGCCTCGATTGGCACAGACTTCTGGTATGAATATCGAAGTCCAGTTCTAGAAAATTCCAGTGATTTGAACAAAAGCCTCTGGAGCGACTTTGCTAGTGACGAAGCAGACGAAAAGACTTACAGTGATGCACTTTTTCGATATAATGGCACAATGGGATTGTGGAGACGGTGTATCAGTATACCCCAAAACGTATATTGGAATAACCAAGAAAGGACAGGTATTTCTCTTTTTAATTTCTGTCTCCTTTACCTGTTCAAATAGGAACAAGGTGATATGATGATGACCCAATTATGTATAAACTGATTTGTAAGTTCTTTCTCTCCTCAAAGAAATAAATCTGTGTTTCTTCTCTCCATACCACCTTCTACCTCCACCTCTCATGAGTTACCATTGTACTCATAAATATTGATTGGGTGAGTAACTGTCATTATTTGAGAAAGACATTTTAAATCTTTGTACTTATTTACCTATTTACAAAGATTAAAAGCCTTTTTATTCATCTCACACATCATGAGGAAATAAATGGAAAAGTACAAATAAGACTTTAAACACTTGGTAACTAGTAAAAACAACTCGTATTCAAAATCAGGTCAACAAATATGAATTGATAGTTCTTTTATATGTTAGCTGTGTTTTAGTAGATATTATCATTTTTCCTCTAAATCTTAGAGGGTATAATATGACCAGCTCTACATTTATATCTGTGCATATTTGAAACAGTTTTGCAATAATCTTTAAAAATATTTTTAAAATTGATATTTAGTGAAAGGGAAAGGAAGGGGCGGGGGGGGGGAGAGAGAACCATTAACGTGAGAATGGAACATCAACCAGCTGCCTCTTGCACATCCCCTACCAGGGATCAAGCCCGAAACTTGGTCATGTGCTCTGACCAGGAATTGAACCAGCAACACTTCTGTGCCTTGGACAACGCCCAACCAACCGAACCACACCAGTCAGGACTGTTTTACAACAATCTTAATATACCTCACAGATTAGCCGAAACCGGTTTGGCTCAGTGGATAGAGCATCAGCCTGTGGTCTGAAAGGACCCGGGTTCGATTCCAGTCAAGGGCATATACCTTGGTTGCGGGCACATCCCCAGTGGGGTGTGTGCAAGAGACAGCTGATCGATGACTCTCTCTCATCGATGTTTCTAACTCTATCTCTCTCCCTTCCTCTCTGTAAAAAATCCTCTCAATAAAAAATATTAAATTAATTCCTCTCAAAAAATATAAATATAAAATATACCTTACAGATGAAAGATGTACAGAAGAGAAATAACCTAAGAAATTATCTCTCACGTTTATTTTGCAAGCATCCTTAACATTTAAAAATTTTAATTTCCAGTTATTGGAAATTAAACTGTAGAGCTCTTTGTAAGAAACAACTTTACATTTTGTGTCAGCTTTACATTTTATGTTTTTGTTTTTGTTTTTTTAACTTGTGACTACTTCTGTTGGCCTGTTGGTGGGAATCACTGTATTCAGATCCCAGCACAAATTCTTGAGTTGCCATACATCAGAAAATGGTTGCTGTGATTTTATATGGGGGGAAAAAAGTGGTTTGTAAGAGGGGAAAGTAGGTTAAAGTTTATTGTAAAACATTTAACTATGAGAGCATGGGAGTACTTGATATTTGAATCTTAGCAACTATTTATCATATGTCTCCATATTCCAGGGCCTAGAAGCTAGGAGTACATCAGGAAAAATAAAAATAACAATTCTTACTCTGGAGAAACTACATACATTCTAATAAGGTGTGACAGGCAATAAACATAGCTATAACAATATAAGCAATAAATAATTATATAAAATGTTAGAAGATGACACATGCTATATTTTGCTAAAATATAGCAAAATAAAGGGGAGTTGGAAAAACATGATGCTGCTGGGAGTAAGTTATGATATTCAGTAGTATAGGCTCCAATGAAAGACGCCCCTTGAGTAAAGACTTGACATAGGTGAAGGTGTTGGCCAGATAGGTCATTGTGGAGCCAGAGGAGACCGTTTAGGTTGGAAGAAACTACTACAAAAGCCCTACTTTGGGAGCATGCCTAAAATAGTCAAGAACCAGTGAGGAAGCCACTTGACTGGAATGGAGGGAGAGGGAGAGTGGTATTCTACCAGAGATGTGCTCTTGGGATGAGAGTAGAGCAAACCATGCAGGATTCTCTAGGCATGAAGAGGACTTTGGCTTTTACTTCGAATGTGATGGAGTCATTGGGGATCTTTGAGCAGAGGAGAGATGATCTGCTCACCTAGGCTGATACGTTGAATACAGGTGTCAGGCAAAGGTGGAAGCCAGGAGGCAAGTTAGGCTTATATACTAATTCAGGTGAGAGATGATTGTGACTCAGACCAGGGTGGTAGTACTGAGTATTGCCTGGATTCTAGATATATTTTGAAGGTAGAGCCTCTAGGAGTGTCTGATGGAATGCATGTGGACAAGGATGACTAAAATCTATAGGCTGAGGAACGAGAAGGGTAGAATTGTCATTACCTGAAATGGGGAAGGTGGCTGGCAGTGTAAGGGAGGGAAGAAGGATCAAAGTTCCTGTTAATTTGTTTTTGTCCCCTTCTCCTTCCTAGTCTTCTTACATATCTATTCTCATTCATTTCACTGCTCTTATTCCTTTCCCCCCCCCTTTCTTGTGCCCAGGTCTTAAGCCTGCCACTGAGAACTATTGGTATCTATTGGGCATTGATCCTACATGCTAAAGCTAAAGATGTTGCTGTCTCCTCTGGGAACATCTCTCTGTATCTTTTTTATTTCAGAGAATAGTTACTAGAAAGAGATTTTTCGTTAAATGCTTAGTATTAAAACAGCAAGCAATCATTGTTATTCTTGTTCCAGAATCATTTGATGTGGTCACAAGATGCATGAGTTTAACGCTAACTGAGCAGTTCATGGCAAAATATGTTGATCCTGGAAACCACAATTCTGGGATTGATCTACTTCGAACCTGTGAGTACTTTGATATCAGCAGGACAATTAGGGGAAAATACAATAGATAATAAGTTTGCCTTTTTATGAACTCTGATTTTGAAACAAGATGAGTTATTATATTGTGTCAACTCAAAATAAGATCTCTAACAGTATCTCAACAAACTGATCTGTTCCATAACACATTTTAGGTGCATACTTAGCAAATTGCAAATAGAAAGTTGAGAGAGGCAAAATAACACATTGGATGACAAAATCCAGACCCTTCAAAAGGTATTTTTAGTAAGCCCATTTCAAGAGGAAATTTAATAGGGATAAATAATAGATTCCTATATTTGAATTAAACACTTCAGCTCCCGGAGTTCAGTTAGGGATGTGTGAACACAGTTGACTGCAAATTCTATATGAGTCAGTTGAATGTCAGGCCTGCCCCAGGTGTTAATCCAGTCTTAGGTGATAGTAACAGAACTGTAGATGATAAAAATAAATGAAAGTATTTATTAGGAGTGTTTATTTGGGGGTCATACTACCCAGGAAATACTGTCTTTAGATTTGAACCTAGTTTCCAATCTATAAAGACTTATTAGAGCTTGCCTGGAAGAATGACCATGTCATGAGAAGAAACATTGAATAAAATGGCAAATATTTAATTTTGCCCTGCAAATGCATAGGAACAAGTTTATTCTATTTATTGCTAACAGTTTGAAGCAAAGAGAAAAGACTTTTATGTAGTTCTAGAAGTAAAGCTAGATTAGAAGGTAGATGTGGTTTAATATTGATATTGATACATTGCTAATAATTAAAATAATTTTAAAATGGAATAGGATGTTTTGTAAAATCACAGCTTTCTTCCCATGTAGTTGAAGGGATTTATGATAATTAAACTGCCATGTATCACCCTGACCATTTTGGCTCACTGGTTGGAACACCTGCCAGAGGACTGAAGAGTCATGGGTTTGATTTCTGGTTAAGGCATGTGCCTTGGTTGCAGGTTCATCCCTGGCCCTGGTCAGGGCACATGCAGGAGGCAACCATTCAATGTGTGTCTCTCACATCAATGTTTCTCTCAGCTGATGTCTCTCTCTGGTATTGTTTCTCTCTCTTTCCACCTCCTTCTTCCCTCCCTTTTACTCTCTCTAAAAATCAGTAGGAAAAATATCCTTAGGTGAGGATTTAAAAAACAAACAAACACCACCACTAACAAATCTCCCATTTTATTGTATGCCTGGTATATACCAGATCCTCTATTTTGCGCTTTATGTATACTCTTTCAACAGGTTTTTTTGTGTTATTTCTTTTATCCTCACCATTCGTTGACTTGTTATAACTGCCATAGGTCCTCTAAGAACTTAGATTTGCTTGTATGTAGAGCCAGAATGCTTTGCCTCAAATGCTAGCTCTACTAGTTTGTAGGGATGTTGGGAGGGTTAATACACAGAGCATCTAATGGAACAGTGTCTGACACTTAGTAAGACCTGTCCTGCTGAGGTCAGTAGTTGTTAACTTTTAGTGTCTTTTTACTTTTACATTTATCAGGACAAAGTGAGCATTTTTTTTGAACAGTGCTTTACAAAACAAAGTTCAATATCCCTTTCTCATTTTTTGAGAAAAGATCTACATAGAAGAGGAAAGAAATTTCCATTGTGGGAAAACTTCTGGAATCCTGGTAACATGTTTTTCCTCTCTTCTTTTCTTCCAGATCTTTGGCGCTGCCAGTTCCTTTTACCTTTTGTGAGTCTAGGTTTGATGTGCTTTGGGGCTTTGATTGGACTTTGTGCTTGTATCTGCCGAAGCTTGTACCCTGCCATTGCCACAGGCATTCTCCATCTCCTTGCAGGTAGGTCTTGTCATCAGACTCAACATTTTATCTTCTTTCTGTCTCCTTAGAAACCAAAGTGTTATAATTCTTAAACATTCATATATTACTGCTCTGTCACATTGCCTGAGAAATTCTCATGATGTCTTATCTAGCAGTGTTTTGTTTTGTTTTCTCCATTTTCCTCCAAGGTTTGTGCACATTGGGCTCGGTGAGTTGCTATGTTGCTGGAATTGAGCTACTCCACCAGAAACTGAAGCTGCCTGAGAATGTGTCCGGTGAATTTGGATGGTCCTTCTGCCTGGCCTGCGTCTCAGCTCCCTTACAGTTCATGGCTTCTGCTCTCTTCATCTGGGCAGCTCATACCAACCAGAAAGAGTACACCTTAATGAAGGCATACCGTGTGGCATGAGTGGGAAACTAGCTGCTGTACAATTGCCATTTTTATTATTTTTTAAGAGTAATATTTTCTCTCCCCCAATTTTTTTTAATTTAACTATTTTTTTTTGCAAATATATCACTCTATCTTGAAAATCCATTTTATTTATTCACACATTTGTTTTTTGATACAACTAAAATTTATATGCATTACTCTGAGTGATTTCATATTTCAGACTAATCTAGGGTCAGAGTCTTGACTAAAGGAAATGGGTAGATACTTGGCACAATATTGTGAAAGATAACTGATAGTGGGAAATTGACCTAGAACAAGTTCTGCTGATGTCTGTTAGACTTTTCAGTAAAGTAATTATATTCACTGAACTGGAAATTTTATTTTCATTGGGAAACCTCATTATTGTCAAAACTTATGTTCACTTTGCTGAGTTATTCTGTTTTAAAAAACTTAAGCTACATATATAGGGAAATTATGTAAGATATTTTTTCCTAAATATTGGCATATAACTTCATTAAGATGAAATATGGCAGCTGTTGATCTACACCGTGTCTATCTATAAGAAAAGAGGTGAAAATAATCTTACTTACTTGAAATTTTAACTTTGGAATGACAGGAATTCCAATTCAGCCAGATAAGAAGATTAACCTTATTTTACTTTTTAAAAAAAATCTCCGTAGTGTGTCATAGGATTTTCGGTACCACCAAAACATTTGGATTTTTGCTTCTTCTCCCTTAATACAAGAATGCTTTCTTTTTAATACTACGTTGGGTTCACAGAGTAAAATTCTTCAACTCCTATCTCTTTATTTCAACTAAGTACCATAAAGAACGTTCCACCATAAAGACCCTCTGGAGTTAGAAAAACTACCACAACCACCTGGTCGTTAACTTCCAAACATGGTCTTTATTTCTTGTGGTGAAATGATGTGCCTTTCCTTGCCTAAGTCCCTTCCTGGTGTGTATCAGCATTATTTAATGTCTTCTAATTCAGTCATTTTTTTTATAAATATGTCTATAAACATTGAACTTTGAAAAATCTTATTTATTTATTTCATTACTGTAGCACTTGACAGATTTTTTGAAAAATGTAACTTAGTGATTTCTTACAATATCCTAAATCTGTCTTTTATATAAAATAAAATTAAAAATGAGAAGAGACTCAGTTGATTTAAATCTCAATACATTTGGATAAAGAAATACAAGATTCTGAATGAGCATTTCCGTGGAAAATGCTTTGTTGCTTTCTAGGCCTATCTTTATGCCCAGTGTTTGGGTCTCTTTTATCTTCCAAGAACTGTGGGAACCTAACACCTACTAGAAAATAAGAGACTCTATGTCTATGTCTCACAGTTTTATATTTTTTATTTAAAGTATTACAAATAGTAGTACATATGTCTTCTTTTTTTTCCATTGATCTTCCCCCAGCCTTCTCTACCCCCAGTACATGCCCTCACCCCACGCCCAGTGTCTTGCATCCATTGGTTATGCTTCTATACATGCATACAAGTCCTTCAGTTGATCTTTTATCCCGCCTGCCAACCTTCCCCAGCTTTCCCACTGTAGTTTGATAGTTTGTTTGATGCTTTTCTGCCTCTGTATCTATCTTTTTGTTTATCAGGTTATAATGTTCTTTATTATCCATAAATGAGTGGTATTTTTCTTTCACTGACTGGCTTATTTCACTTAGCATAATGATCTCCAGATCCATCCATACTGTTGCAAATGGTAAGAATTCCTTCTTTTTTATAGCAATGTAGTATTCCATTGTGTAGATGTACCACAGTTTTCTTTTCTTTTTTAAAAAAAATATATTCCTAGAAGTGATAGTACTGGGTCAAATTCCATTTTTAATTTTTTGAGGAAATGCCATACTGTTTTCCACAGTAGCTGCACCAGTCTGCATTCCCACCAGCAGTGCAGGAAGATTCCTTTTTCTCTGCATCCTCCCCAGCACTGTTGTTTGTTGATTTGTTGATGATAGCCATTCCGGCAGGTGTAAGGTGGTATCTCGTTTTGATTTGCATCTCGGATGATTAGTGACTTTGAGCATGTTTACATATGTCTCTTGGCTTTCTATTTAGGTCTTTCGCCCATTTTTTGATTGGGTTGTTCTTCTTTTTGTTAAGCTGTATGAGTTCCCTGTAAATGTTGGAGATTAAATCCTTATCGGAGATAACTTTGACAAATATTTCCTCCCTTGCAGTGAGTATTTTTGCTGTTTTGTTGGTGGTTTATTTTGCTGTGTAGAAGCTTTTTATTTTTATGTAGTCCCATTTGTTTATTTTCTCCTTAGTTTGCATTGCCCTAAGAGCTGTATTGTTAAATATATTGCTACAGCAAATATCTGCTATTTTGCTGCCTATGGCTTCTTCTAAGATTTTTATGGTTTCCCATCTTATGTTTAAGTCCTTTATCCATTATGAGTTTATTTTTGTGTATGGTGTAAGCTAGTAGTCTAGTTTCATTTTTTTGCAAATATCTGTCCAGTTTTCCCAACACCATTTATTGAAGAGAGTGTCTTGACTACATTGTATGGTCTTGCCTCCTTTGCCAATTATTAATTGAGCATAATGGCTTGTGTTGATTTCTGGGTTCTCTGTTTGTTCTATTGATCTATATGTCTGTTCTTATGCCAGTACCAGGCAGTTTTGAGAACAGTGATTTTGTAGTTTAGCTTGATATCTGGTATTATAATCCTTCCATCGTTGTTCTTCTTTCTCAAGATTGCTGCAGCCATTCAGGGTCTTTTTTTATTCCAGATGAATTTTTGGAGAATTTGTTCTATGTCTTTGAAGTATGCTGTTGGTATTTTAATGGGGGATGCATTAAATCTATAGATTGCTTTGGATAGTATGGACATTTTAATGATGTTGATTCTACCAATCCATGAACATGGTATATTCTTCCATTTGTTTATGTCTTCCTCTAGCTCTCTTTTCAGTGTTACAAAATTTTCTGAGTACAGGCCCTTTATCTCCTTGGTTAAGTTTATTCCTAGGTATCTTAATTTTTTGTTGCAATGGAAAATGGGATTGCTTTTTTAATTTTTCTGTGAGATCATTATTGGTATATACAATAGAAAAACTATAGACTTCCGCGTGTTAATTTTGTATCCTGCTACATTGCCAAATTCATTTATTAAGTCTCGTAGTTTTTTTGATGGAGTCTTTGGGATTTTCTTGTACAATATCATGTCATCTGCGAATAAGGACAGTTTTACTTCTTTTCCTATTTGGATGCCTTTTATGTCTTCTTGTCTGATAGCAATGGCTAGTACTTCCAGTACTATGTCAAACAGGAGTGGTGAGAGTGGGCATTCCTGTCTTATTTCTTTTCTTAGGGGAAATAGTTTTAGTTTTTGCCCATTGAGTATGATAATGGCTGTGAGTTTATCATGTATGGTTTTTATTATGTTGAGGTATGATCCTTCTATTCCTGTCTTGCTGAGGGTTTGTATCAAGAAAGGGTATTGGATTTTGTCAAATTTTTTTCTGCATCAATGGATATGATTATATTAGAGGCCCGTTGCATGATATTTGTGCAAGAATCAGCCTTCCTTCTCCTGGCTTCACTCCCAGTCGCCTGGGAACCAGCACGCCCTCGATTCTGTCCTCGCTTCTGCACGGAGCACCGCTTCTGCAGCTCCCTCCACCGCCCTCCCCCTCGTAGCAGGAGTCCTGCCCCTCCCGGCTGGTCTGTGCCTGTATATACAAATTAACCCATTTTTGTTGGGTTAATTTGCATACTCTGTTTCACTGTGGGCATAGTATTTACATGTTTGTCTATTATTAGGTAAGATGATTATATGATTTTTATCTCAGTTGGTTTATATGGTGTATCATATGATCTTTTTAATGTAATGCTGGATTCGATTTGCTAGAATTTTGTTGAGGATTTTGGTGTCTGTGTTCATGGGGGATATTGGCCTGTAATTTTCTTTGTATTGTCTTGATCTGGTTATGGGATTAGGGTAATGCTGGTTTCATAGAATGAGCTTGAATTGCTCCTTCCTCTTGAATTTTTTTGGAATAGTCTGAGGAAGACAGGTTTTATTTCTTCTAGTCTAGGGCTTTTGTTTGTTGGAAGTTTTTTGATTACTGCTTCAATTTCCTCCATGGTTATTGGCCTGGTCAGATTTTTTTATTCCTCCTGGTTGAGTTTTGGAAGGTCATATTTTTTTAGGTATATGTCCATTTTTTCTAGGTTGATCAGTTTGGTGGAGTACTTGCTCATTTTATTTTTTTACGGTTCTTCGTATTTCTGTGGGGTCTGTTGTTATCTTGCCTCTTTTCGTTTCTGATTTTGTTTATTTGGGTCCTCTCTCTTTGCTTCTTGGTGAGACTGGCTAGAGATTCATCAATCTCATTTATCCTTTCAAAAGAACCAACTCTTGGTTTCTATTTCACAGATTTAAAACATGTTTTCAAAGTAGTATTGTGACTTCTATCATACTTAGTGTGGCTAGTTTTTCATAAGTTCCCTTAATGGCTGTGGATTTGTGTTGTATATTAAAGAAATAATCAAGTCAGCTTTGGATTTCCAGTAAAGCCAGTATTGCTCTGCAGCTGATTGTTGCCTATGAAATGACTTGCTGCTCACTCCCCTCTCTCTTCCTAACTCTTGAAGTGTCATTGCCCTTCAGTCCTATAGACAGCAGAAAAGCTAACTGAGCAAACAAAACACTTTTGGGAATAGGTTTTTTACATTGTTGAATAACAGGGCATTTTTGTGTTGGGAATTATTTTAAACAGTGGTCCTTGCTTCTTGTCACTCCAAAGTTACCTGTGACTGTCATTGGAGTCTGGAAACTCAGTCAGAACTGGCCTTCTGTGCCTCAGCCTCACCAGTAGCATCCTGTAATATGGAAAGCTAGCACCACAAGCCCTAGTGCTAACTGTGTGTGGTAGTTGATACTTGAAGCCCATTGCAGAGTAGCTGAGGTCATCCTCTCCTGTGAGGACTTTATTCTGTGGAATACATAGTGCCATGTCGTTTCATTTTATATGAAAACTACAGTTTTTCAGCTGCCCCGTGATTCTAAAGAGGTAGAATCATATGAATTACTGATATTTGACTACTTTTAAAGTTAAACTAATACATAAAGTGAGTGGCAAATAAAGTCCTATTGATCTCTTTTCACCTAATCTTTGAAATTAACGCCCAAAGTAAAAAAATAAATTTCAGATTTTTCAGAACATGAGCTTTATGGCAACTTAAGAAACCTGTTTTAAAAATCTTAATTTTATGGTTTCTAACCTAATAACTAAATGATGTGAATATGTTCTATATGCTTTTTAGCAAAAGACTCTTTTCAAAATGTCTTAGGGTTAGCCATAAAAATAGTAAAAGTTAAAACAACAAAATGGCATTATTTTAGAAGAATTTACTTGTTCAGTTAACTAAGTGCTTGCTATCCATGTCATAATACACCAGAGTCTCAAGAATTTAATAGTAATGAGTTAAAGTTTTACCTGCTCTAAATTTTAGTGTATGTCTGGTGTGTGTGTGTGTGTGTGTGTGTGTGTGTGTGTGTGTGTTGGGGGGAGGATAGACTTGATAAGTCATTTATAGGTGATCTGCTTTAGTCACACAAGTGAGAAGAAGGATATGATCATACAACAAATCAATTTTAGTTTGTTTTCCTATCCCAAAGATGACATCAAATTGTAGATTGGCAGTTAAAACTTAAAATATAGATCCATTCATCTTCAATTGACTATAAAATACATAATGTGAGGGCATTTTAAAATGTAACCCTGTGTTGGCTTTCATCAGAAATGAAAACAGCCTGTTGAATTAACCCGATTTTCCAGTTGTAACACTTCCCGGCGTTTCCTAGCAGCAAAGGAGCAGGTAATGGGTGCAGTCCTGCAGATGCAGATGATTTCCCAAGCTGGATGCAGCTTTGTCCTGGCACAGATGGAGTCTTGTCCTCCTTTCAGCTTTCTACTCATTCAGGAATAAGGATTCATAGCTTAGAAAGAAAGAATTAAAACAAGGAAGCACATCTATGGACAGGAATTCTGTTGTCTGTTGCTCATCAACTGTTCCAATACATATTGTCATGAGATTCTCCTGACCACACATATTCCCCTTGGATCACATGACATGCCAATGTCCTGCAAATTCACTATGTGAAAATTCTAACTTGCAAAAAGAATAAGTTAGAATGATTGTTTGCAATACAGAAGTTACCCTAAACATTACTTACTAGTAAATCTTCAGTGCTAGAATTTCTCTTAGAAAAATTAATGCATTATTTGAAATTAGCATTTCCTGTACATACTTTCAGCAAGCTTGTATAAAGAGATCCAATTTATATATTTATTTTTGCTGAGTTTAAAAATATAAAAAAAAGGAGAGAAAAATTAATTATTTTATCTCTGCCTTTTAAAATATCTGAGATATTGGGTAATGCATGACCTTTCCTCTTCTGACTCTGCCTCAGACTGTGAACTTTACCTTACCTCTTCCGCAGCCTTTCAGCCCCTCTCAGTCTTTTAGGCTTCTTTTCTTGGTTTTCTCAACTCAGCTTGTAAGGTCATTGGTAGTTCACAAGGAACTTTGATTCTTTTATCCCCATAATTTCCCTTGGCCTCTTTTTTAGGATTCTTAGCCTTATCTTCATATGTGCTATCCAGTTTTCTTATTTTCAGTCTGAAGATATCAAGAATGGCTGTTGAAAAATACAAAGCAATTCTGTTAAAAGATTGTGCTGTTTGGTGTTAGCTGCTTGACAATTGTAACCATCTCTGACTATTGATTAGTACTCCCTACCACACATTTTCCAAAATCGCTAGTAGAATCTAGAGTTCTTCCTTAACTTCCACAAAAAGAGTGTATTCTTTCTTTCTGTCTGTTCCAATACATATTGTCATGAGATTCTCCTGACCACACATATTCCCCTTGGATCACATGACATGCTAATGTCCTGCAAATTCACTATGTGAAAATTTTCCTTCTTTCCTTCCTTCCTTCCTTCCTTCCTTCCTTCCTTCCTTCCTTCCTTCCTTCCTTCCTTCCTTCCTTCCTTCCTTCCTTCCTTCTTTTGTTTCTTTCTTTCTTTTAGAGATATGCAAACTACTTTATTTCCAAACATTGTAAACAATATCATACAGACATTCATACAGAAGCATGTTTCAAAGGTTGACAATTTCACATAATGTCAAAAATGAGTATGTGGCCTTTGGAGGTCATACAGTGATTGTCAAAGGCAGGTTTACAGCCCTGGCCAGGGGCCTCAGTTCATTGGAATGTCTGGTCATTCACCAAAATGTTTGCAAATTTCATTCCAGTCAGGATACAAAGGTTTCAGGTTCAATCCCTGGTCAAGGTAAGTATGGGAAGCATCTGATGGATGCTTCTCTTTCACATTGATGTTTCTCTCTGTCTGTCTCTGTCTCCCTTCCTCTCTCTATCAATAAACATCATCAGGTGAAAATTAAAAAATATGTTTACAGTTAGCAGGCAAAAGTTTATCTTGTATTACTTGTTCCTATAATTACTGTACATATTTATAACACTACTGTCAACCAGAGTTAGCTCAGCCCTTACATTAAATTTTTGTAAAACATGAGACAAAATCAAGACAACTAGAATTCCCAAAAAATTACATGGGAGATAATAAATAGTAAATATGTTTTTCTTGTAGAAACTTGACCAAAGGAAGTTAAATCTATAACACAGACACCATAGAACTTGGAAAATGCAGCACACACTGCAAGGAGCCAGGGTGTGTTACCACATAAAGCCAGAGGACGCTCTGGTGGGTGCACTTCATATCTGGGAAATTGCTCACAATGTCAATGGTGGTGACCAGCTTGCATAGTCAGGGTGGAGCCACCCAAAATTGGTTTCAGATGTTCACACTGTTGGTGACTCACCACATACCAGGAGAGTATGAATAAGTTTATTACTCTCATGATGAGGTTTTGTGGGGTCAGTGGATCTTAGACTAGGAATCAAAATGACTGAGCACAGGGAAAAGGGACTGGCTTGTGGTGGTCATGTTGGTTGCTGGGTGCTATTGGTGGGAGCCTGCCCACACTGATGGAAACTTGCTTGATTGAAACTTCCCAAGGAGTGTATTCTTTAATGAGGGAGTATTGGAATGAACTGTTCCAGTTTCTCCAAATCTGACTTGCTCCTCCCTACAAAAGGAAAAATTGTATGATCTGATTGGAGAGATTGCTGGGATCAGGGCATCCAGAAAAAGCGACAAAAAAAATAAAAAATAAAAAAAAAGTGTATAGTGGTTAAATATCCAGCTCAGGAGACAATACTACATTTGCAATCCCAGGTCTGTCACTTAGCTTTTCTGAGCTCCACTCTTCCCATCTGTGAAATGTTATTATATCTGCCTTGTTACGATGGAGATTTTGTCAGCTTAGGTAAAAGAAGCCACTCAAAAAAATGCTACTTATGACTGGAGGCATAAAGAGGGAATAGGTTATCTAAATGATGCCAGTGGGATATTATGTTTGAAAAATATGCATGAAAGCTTTATTTAAAATCAGAATTGCTTTATAGTTTCTCTCCCAGGCATATTGTTAGAGTGAGTTCTAACACAAGTAGATAGACCCAGCACATTCTCTGCTGCTGGTGATGGGTTGTGTGAGTCGGCCCCATCCATCACACCCTGCTGGCTGGAGATGTGTTGAAGAGTCTACACTCCAGTGGCTGGTCTGAAGGTTCAGATTTGGCAGGAGGGAATAGGAAGCCTTGTTTGTTTTGGTTTCAATTCCAAATTTCTCTAACCCAGCATTTGTAGGGACCCTATAGCGGTGTAATTAGCCTCCATAAAGTACATGAAAACGTTGATCCCTGACTGCTTATTGGTACATTGCATTCCTACTCTTTTGGTTTGAACCAGTAAGGACAGATGCATAAGTGATTAACATAAACCTCTACACGAGCCAGAAATTTTCTGAGAATGGACATAGATAATGCGATAGCCAGTATCTGCCTTGATAGGTTATTGTGAGGGTTAAATAAGAAGGTACACAGATCCTGAACCGGAAGAGCTCAATAAATGTTGGGTTTTGTAATGCAGAGGCTAAGACGGCTCACAGGGAGGAGCCGGCCTTTGCCTGGCCTGTGTGATCAGTAAATACAGGGATTGAGCTGTGGTGGCTTGTGTGGCTACACACCCACGGGGATTAGAGCCAGGGCTGGTGCTACATTATTGGGTGAGTCTAGTTTCTACTTAAGGTTAATGTCAAAACAGACAGCTTAATTACATAGGATTTTTAATCAAACTTGCTACACGTGCTTTTTATGTTTTTTTTAAAGCTTGCGTTTTTACCCTTTTTCTCAAACAGGACCATACAAGTGTGGGATTTTGGGTCTTTTGATAGTTTTGCTAAGGGTCAGTTGATTATTCAAGATGAGCTGCATAAAAAAAAATCTGTCTTTATTCTGTTTAAATTGGATTCAGCTCCATTGAGGGATGGGAGGAACCAGGATTCCTATGGCTTGTTCTCTGGCTCCTGAAATCAACTACTTCCACATGCAATTTTGATTTGGACGGTTAATTTTTTAGAAATTATAGTAGTTGACATAATAGTAGTTTCAGGTGTACAACATAGTGATTCAGCATTTATATAACTTACGATGTGAGCACTGTCACCATACACAATCCTATATAATAAAAAGGTAATATGCAAAT